GTTTTTTCCAATTTTGTGAAGAAAGTCAGTGGTAGCTTGATGGGTAGCATTGAATGTATAAGTTATTTTGGGCAGTAAGGACATTTTCACAAAATCGATTCTTCCTAACCATGAGCACGCATCTGTTTGTGTCCTCTCTTATTTCCTTGAGCAATGGTTTGTAGTTCTCCTTCACGAGATCCTCTCATCCCTTGTTAGATGTATTCCTAGATATTTACTCTCTTTATAACTATTGTGAATGGGAGTTCACTCATGATTTGGCTGGCTGTTATTGGTATATAGGAATGCTTGTGACTTTTGCACATTGATCGTGAATTCTTAGACTTTGCTGAATTTGCTTATCAGCTTAGGGAGATTTTGGGCTGAGAAGATAGAGTCTTCTAAATATACACTCATGTCATCTACAAAGAGACCATTTGATTTCCTCTTTTCCTAGTTGAATATGCTTTATTTCTTTTTCTTGCCTGATTGCTGTGACCAGAACTTTCAATACTACGTTGAGTATTGAAAGGAGGAGTGAGAGAGGGCAAAGCCACAGACAGTAACATACTGTATGGGCAAAAACTGGAAGCATTACCTTTGAAAACCAGCACAAGACAAGGATGCCCTTGTAATGTTGTGCTAATTACAACTATTCCTTCTTGGTCAAGTTGACAAATTTTTCTGGCAAGTTTCTGTGAAGCAGAGTTGAACATTTTTATACATATGAAACTTATCTGTTAAACTACCACCTGTTTCATGTTAGCTGAGTTGCAGGTGGAATGTTTTCTTTTTTTTTATCAATTAATTTTATTACATTTTGCAATTCTAGTTAACATATTAATCATTCACATTTCTTTTGAGAGGGAGTTTTCGCTCTTGTTACCCAAGCTGGAGTGCAATGGCGCGATCTCGGCTCACCGCAACCTCCGCCTCCTGGGTTCAGGCAATTCTCCTGCCTCAGCCTCCTGAGTAGCTGGGATTACAGGCACACACCACCATGCCCAGCTAATTTTTTGTATTTTTAGTAGACACGGGGTTTCACCATGTTGACCAGGATGGTCTCGATCCCTTGACCTTGTTATCCACCCGCCTCGGCCTCCCAAAGTGCTGGGATTACAGGCTTGAGCCACCGCGCCCAGCTCACATTTCTTCAACTGGCTTAGTCATCATATCTACAGAAGCTCTATCTATAGAAGCTCTATCTTAAATATTTTACTATGAACTGTAAAATAAAGTACATTTCTTTGTAATATGGGCTTCAGAGATGAAAGCCTTCAAATTTGAGAATAAAATGTGCACAATTCAGCAGGTGGAATGTTTAAGGAAGTTCTAGCCTTTTGAGCATTTGTGAAAGCGTGTTCATGCTGACACTGAATTTTCTTCCTCTTACCTTAAATCTCTCAGAGTCTGGACTTGCAGGAGAGATTGTGTCCAAATTCAAGCCTGCATCAGAATCACCTGGCTAGCTTAATATATTTGGTTGATTGATTGAGACAGAGTCTCACTCTGTCTCCCAGGCTGGAGTGCCGTGGCGTGATCTTGGGTAACTGCATCCTCTGTCTCCTGGGTTTAAGCGATTCTTCCACCTTAGACTTTCGGTAGCTTGGATTACAGGTGTACAACATCACACCTGGCTAACTTAAAAAATATTTTTAGTAGAGATGGTGTTTTATCATATTGGCCAGGCTGGTCTCAAACTCCTGACCTCAGGTGATCCACTTGCCTTGGCATCCCAAAGTGCTGGGATTACAGGCGTGAGCCACTGTGTTGGCCAACAGCTTGTTAGCATAAAATGCAGCTTTCTACTCTAAACTCAGATTTTCAGTTTAGTAGGTCTGGGTGGGGCCTGAGTATCTGCATTCCTAACACATCCCCAGGTGCTGCTGCTTCTGGTTCAGGTCAACATGTAGAGACACACTGGAGTTGATCCTCACTACTCAAAGTGTGGTCTGTGGACCAGCAGCCATGACAACACCTGGTGCTTATTAACAGTGTAGAATTTTAGGCCTCAACCCCGATCAACTGAAACAATCTGAATTGTAACTAGTCCTCTAGGTGGTCTGTATGGACATTAAAATTGAAGAGACACTGGAAGGAAGTGGGAATAAAGAAACTTTTTCTGGAAAGTTTCAGCATTCCAGGCCATACGGTCTTTGTAACAAATAACTGTCTCTTCCAGCATAGTGGAAAAGCAGCCTTAGATGAAACGGAAATCGATGGGTATGACTGTGTTCCTGTAAAAATGTATTTACAAAAACTAAAATTTAAATTTTACAGAGTTTACATCTGTCATGTAATACTGTTTTGATTTTTTCACTGTTAAAAGTAAGAAATCTAGCGGGGCGCTGTGGCTCATTCCTGTAATCTCAGCACTTTGAGAGGCTGAGATGGGCAGGTTGCTTCAGGCTAGGAGTTTGAGGCCAGCCTAGCTAACATGGTGAAACCCGGTCTGTACTAAAAACAAAAAAATTAGTTGGGCGTGGTGGTGCATACCTGTGGTCACAGCTACTCAGAAGGCTGAGGCAGGAGGATCACTTGAACCCAAAAGGCGGAGGTTGCAGCGAGCCAAGATCATGTCACTGCACTCCTGACTAGGCAAAAGAGTGAGACACTGTCCCCGACAAAACAAATTAGCCAGGCGTGGTGGAGCATGGTGGTCATCCTAGCTTCTTGGGAGGCTGAGGCACGGGAATCATTTTAACCTGGGAGGTGGAGGTTAGCACCAACCATACCTGGCTAATTTTTGTATTTTTAGTGTGTTGAGCCAAGGTCATACCACTGCACTCCAGCCTGGGCAAGAGAGCAAGACTTTGTCTCAAAAAATGTAAAAAATGAAATCCGTTTTGAGCTCATGAGCCATACATGGAGTCCATTTTTGGCCAGCCCTTGGCTTAGAGAAATGTTATTCTGAGAGTCAGGTCACCTGTCACATTCTACTGCCAGTTCACAGTGTGACCCCGAAGCCGGTTAGCTTACCTCCTTGGCTGTAGATTTTGTCATATGGAAAATGAACGGGTTAGATCTCCAACATGTCAAATATTGGGCCCCTCCCTTACTTCTCATGTGCACAGCAGACACCCATAGTCACCCATGACATTCTTTCCCACTGAGTTACATTCAAGCAGCCCTCCAGGTGACTGCTGCTGGTGGATTGGAGTTGAGTGAGAAATGGCATCTTGTTGCTCTTCTGTGACTCTGCGTTCCCTAAGATCATTTCTAGCTCCAGTGCCCCTGCATTCTGCCTTGTACATCACATTCTTTTTACACCCTAGTCCCTTGACTTTACCAGCGTGCCTTGATGAAGTCTCTTTTTTTCTCAAAATTTTTTTTTGTATTTTTAGTAGAGATGGGGTTTCTCCATGTTGGTCAGGCTGGTCTTGAACTCCCAACCTAAGGTGATCCACCTGCCTCAGCTTCCCAAATTATCAGTGTCGGGATTATAGGTGTGAGCCACCGTACCCAGCCTTTTTTTTTATAGACGAATTCTCACTCTGTCACCCAGGCTGGAGTACAGTGGCATGATCTCCCTTCACTGCAGCCTCTGCCTCCCGGGTTCAACTGATTCTCCTGCCTCAGTCTCCCAAGTAGCTGCGACTACAGATGCAAGCTCCCATGCTCAGCTAATTTTTTGTATTGTTAGTAGAGACAGGGGTTTCACCATGTTGCCCAGGCTGGTCTTGAACTCCTGAGCTCAGGTGATCCACTCACCTCAGCCTCCCAAAGTGCTAGGATTACAGGCATAAGCCACTACGCCCATCCTTTTTTTTTTTTTTTAATTGAGACAGTGTCGCTCTGTCACCCAGGCTGAAGTGCAGTGATGCCATCTCGGCTCACTGCAACCTCCGCCTCCTGGGTTCAAGTGATTCCTCAGCCTCCCAAGTAGCTGGAATTACAAGGGTGTACCACCATACCTGGCTAATTTTTGTATTTTTAGTAGAGATGGGGTTTCACCATCTTAGCCAGGCCGGTCTTAATCTCCTGACTTCAGGCGATCCACCTACCTCGGCCTTCCAAAGTTCTGAGATTACAAGCATGAACTACTGTGCCCAGCCAATAGTTCGTTTCTTGTACATAACTTAGTATTCAGTTGTGCAGATGCACGTAATGGGTAAATCTGTTTGTTCACTTGCTAATAGCTGTCTGGCTTACCTCCAGTTCGGGTTATCACAAAGTATCTAAGAACATTCCTGCCTGGGTAACAAGAGCGAAACTCCGTCTCAAGAACATTCCTGTACCAGTCTTTTATAAACATATGTTCTCAGCTCTCTTGGCTGGATGTCTGGGAAGTGAGTGGATGGCTGTATGGTCACTATGTCTAACTTAAAAACAAAAACAAAAACTTCCAAACTCTTCCAGAGTCACAAAAGCATTTGATATTCAGGCCAGCAGAAACCACAATCCAAAATGGCCCGAAGGTCTAAGAGGCCATACACAAAAAAGAGAACATAAAACTATTACATACAAACCAATGAAGCACTGGGTTTTCAAAACCAAAGGTGGTAGAAGTAGGGAGATCACTAACATCTGCCTTTTGGAGATGGAGTCTCACTCTGCCCCCCAGGCTGGAGTGCAGTGGTGCGAACTAGGCTCACTGTCACCTTTTGTTCCCACGTTCAAGCAATTCTCCTGCCTCAGCTTCCCACTTGGCTGGGATTACAGGCAAGTACCACCACACCCAGCTAATTTTTGTATTTTTAGTCGAGATGGGGTTTCACCATGTTAGCCAGGCTGTTCTCAAACTCCTGAACTTGTGATTCACCTGCCTTGGCCTCCCAAAGTGCTAAGATTACAGGCGTGAGGCACCATGCCCAGCTTCTCTCTTCTTTTCTACTCAGTTGCCTTAATGAATTAAGAGATTTTACCCCATTTGGCAGAAAAACAAACTGAGGCCCAGAGGAGAAGTGAGAACCAGAAAACTAGTAACAAGCAGCATTGCCAAGGACACAGCATGGATTCAGGCCACAGGGCGGGAAGGAGGGAACCGGGGCATCCTAGAGGATAAGGAAACTCACACTTACTTCCTAGACTGGGCGCATTTCTTCTTCCAGTTCTTTGCTGAAACAGGCATGACTTGTTCCTGCGTGTCCTCCTTGTTTAAGGAGCAGGGGCCACTGCTCTCCAGGGGCTGGTGGTAGCCTGGGATATCAACCTGAGGCCAAGACACAAGAGGGTTAGGCAATGAGCGTCAATGAGAGGGGGGAGGAGAACGAGGCTCACTCACTCCACACGCATGCCAATGCTGTGCCCCTCTCCCCAGCACAAGTGCCCGCTGCAAATGAAGGCAGCCACGCAGCTGGGGATGTCTGAACGTGGATAGACATTTGTACATATTACAAGTCTATTACAGCTCATTCTGTTGGGTCATAAAGGAAAAATGGCTTTCTTTTGGGGGGGGTGCATACAAAAGATTTAGGGAAAAAAGATGATTTAGGAGGAAAATATCAAGATGGTTCTAATTCATTATTTTTTATAAATCATTATTTATTTATTTATTTTTGAGATAGGGTGTGACTGTGTCACCCAGGTTAAAGTGCAGTAGCGTTTTCTTGGCTCACTGCAAACTCTGCCTCCCGGGTTCGAAGGATTGTCCTGCCTCAGCGTCCCAAGTCTGGGACTGCAGGCACATACCTCCACACCTGGCTAATTTTTGGTATTTTAGTAGAGACAGGGTTTCACCGTGTTGCCCAGGCTGGTCTCAAACTCCTGACCTCAGGTAATCCACCCACCTCGGCCTCCCAAAGTGGTAACATTAAAGGTGTGAGTCACCACACTCGGCCAACTGAACACTTTTATAATAAAAAGTTAAAATACTTTCATATTTTGTTTCAAAATAATTTCAAACTTACAGAAAAAATACTCAAATCATGCTAAATATTCACTCAACTCACCACTATTAACATGTTGACAAGTTTACAGTAACATTCTGTCTATCCATTCACACACACACACACACATACACACACACCATCTTTTTCTAAACCACTCAAACAGTTAAAGGCCTAGCACAGTGGCTTACACCTATAATCCCAGTACCTTGGGAGGTTGAGGTGGGTGGATCACCTGAGGTCAGGAGTTTGAGACCAGTCTAGCCAACATGGTGAAAACCCATCTCTACTAAAAATACAAAAATTAGCCAGGCATCGTGGTGCATGCCTATAATCCCAGCTACTCAGGAAGTTGAGACAACAGAATTGCTTAAACCCAGGAGGCAGAGGCTGCAGATCACGCCACTGCACTCCAGCCAGGACAACAGAGCAAGACTGTCTCAAAGTTAAGATGTAGGCTCTACATATCTTTACTTCCAAAATACCAGGGGTAATCCCTTACAATCAAGGACATGCTCTTATGAAACTGGAGCACAATTTTCCAAAACAAGAATGAATGTTATTAGCATGCATCTGGTGTCCTGCAGTCCTTTACAAATCACATCAACTGTCCCAGTGATGCTTTTTAATAGTAATTTGAAGAAATTTTAAACATCTAATCTTTTTAAAAGATGTTTGTAAAAAGTTCATAAAGAGAAGAATGAGACCAGGCATGGTGGCTCATTCCTATAATCCCAGCACTCTGGGAGGCTGAGGTGGAAGAATCACTTGCACTCAGGAGTTGGAGACCAGTCTGGGCAACACGGTGAAACCCCATCTCTGCAAAAAATACAAAAATCTGTTGGGCATAGTGGAGCAGGCCTATAGTCCCAGCTACTCAGGAGGCTGAGACAGGAGCAACACCTGAACCCGGTAGATCAAGACTGCAGTGAGCTATGATTGTGCCCACTGCACTCCAGCCTCAGCGACAGAGCAAAAGCCTGTCTCCAAAAAACAAAAAGATGATGCATATTAGGGTGAAAGAAAGATTCTTCAAATAATCCCCAATAAGATGTTGACGATAGGCAGAAAAAGATGTACAAAAAGAAAACCAAAAGGTGGCTGGGCACGGTGACTCACACCTGTAATCCCAGCACTTTCAGAGGCCAATATGGGTCTGAGGTCAGGGGTTCAAGACCAGCCTGGCCAACATGGCAAAACCCTATCTCTACTACAAATACAAAAATTAGCCAGCAGTGATGGTGCATGCCTGTAATCCTAGCTACCTGGGAGACCAAAGCAGGAGAATCACTTGAACCCAGGAGGCAGAGGTTGTAGTGAGCTGAGATCGCACCACTGCACTCCAGCCTGGGAGACAGAGTGAGACTCCATCTCAAAAAGAAAAGAAGACCAGAAGCAGACATACTAAAATGGTGACAATGGTTGCTTCTGCATGTTTCCTTACTACTGATCTGCACATGTGTTTTTTTAAGCCACTTTTCCTATGATGAGACAGTATTTTTCTAAGGAGTAGGGGATGGGAAGAGAACAATGTCAATAACAACTATACTGAATATTTAAAAAACCCAAATCTGTCAGGTTGAACATGATGTCTAGGCAAGAAATAAAATATATTAGCCGGGCATGGTGGCACGTGCCTGTAATCCCAGCTACTCAGGAGGCTGAGGCAGAAGAATTGCCTGAATCCAGGAGGCGGAGGTTGTGGTGAGCCGAGATTGCGCCACTGTACTCCAGCCTGGGTAACAAGCGAAACTCCATTTCAAAAAAATAAAATAAAATAAAATAAATATATTATTTTTCTAAGGAGGGGAATAATGTCAATAATAACTATACCAAATATTTAAAAAGCACAAATCTGTCAGGTTGAACATGATGTCTAGGCAAGAAATAAAATATATAAAAATAAAATCCCAAATCTGAAGCTAAAGCAAGAGCAGTCCAGTGTATGGCTGTCCCAGACCAAGCCTTCTGCAGAGATTTAAGCTGCTCATGGCTCATGTGTTCATCACATTCAAGGTGATAGACTTGGGGGACAGAGTTGGTTTCTCTGAGACCACATGGCCAGCACAGGCAGATTCAAGACAACTCTGCAGAAGAGCCAAGGAGAGAGAAGTCAAGCGGGGAGCTCAGCATGTTCATTCATTGATTCATTCATTCCCCACCACCTCCCTAAGGTCTCAGAGACCCAGCCTTACCCTGTGATCCACCAGAAGGTGATCCTGGACAGGAAGGAGGCGCTGGACTCAACAAGGATTCTAGTGGAAACAAAGAACAGGTTAGGGAGGAAGAGGAAAAGGAACGGTTCAACTTTACATCCAGGCCAAAGCTTGGCAAGGAGCGGTCAGCTGCCCATTCATCCTTCAAGAGGACCAGTATCCGCTCCACACCAATCTACACCCCAATAGGATTCTCTCCTAAACCCCAGGAGAAAGAAACTCATAGCAGCTCCTGTCGTTTCACTCAACAGAGTGTCTACCAGGCACAACCACAACAAGCTATCGACCTGCCTTATCTTCTATCCCTGCAGCAACCCTAGGAGCTGGTGTTATCATCCCCACTTCACTCATTCATTTAACAAATATTTTCTGAGCCTCTACTATGTGCTAGGCACTCTACAAGGTACTACAGGGTACCTTAGATCCCCACGACAACCTCATAAGCTGGTATTACTATTGTCACCATTTTCCTTATTCAGGCACTGAACATTTATTGGCCACTTACTATGAGCTAGACATGCTACCCAGAACTTATATACTTGCATTATTTTATATCCTCATGGAATTCTATAAACATATTACTATTATCTCCACTTCCTTCATTCATCCAACAAATATTTCCTGAGCACCATCCATATGCCAGGCACCCTGCATACAAATCTAAACAAACAGAAATGACCCCTGCCTGTATGAAACTTGTGGTTCACTGCAGTAATCATCAGTAATACCTGCCAAGATTCTCTACTATTAATAAGTATCTCTAAGTGCTTTACACAAATTACCCTATTTAATCTTCATCCCCACCTCACAAGGTAGGTGAAAGTATAATATCATCCCTGATTTGCAGTTAAAAGAAACTGGGGACCAGAGATGAAATGATTTGTTCAAGGTCCCACAGCTAAAAGTGGTGGAGACAGGAGGTAAGCCCCAAAGAGTCAGGCTCCAGAGAGAGACATGCATCAAATGATCACATGAACAAATGCAAAACTGTGACTTCTGGGCCTTGCTATGTGTCCTAAAGGTAGAGAACTATTACCAATGAGACAAGGTCAGCACAGGGGGGCTGATCTGGTGTACCAAGGTCAGAGGAGGCCCCCCGGAGGAAGACAGTCAAGCCGGCACCTGAAAGATGAGTAGAGGAGAACTAAGTAATGGGGAAAGGCAAGGCCCTCCCAGCAGACAGCAGCTGTGCAGAGGCCTGGTGGTAGAGGTAAGCATGGCAGACTCCAGGAACCAAAAGGGGCCTGAGCAGTCTACACTGAAGGCTGTACACAGTCTACACTGCAGGCCGCAGATTTTCGTGTTCATTCTAATGGCAAGGGAAAGTACTGAGAGACTCTAAGCAAGCTATCAGCTTATTTCCCAGAGGCACGAAGATGAGCTCCAACTCAACATACAGGCAAGGAAAGGGACCGATACGGAGTCCTGGGATGACAGACCAAGCCTGGCTTTCAACACAGATGCATTCCGGTCAACATTCTGAAACAAGCTTTAAGCAGGAGAGGGAAGAAAGGTCACCATGTAGCAATCAAACCTTTAGCCAAGGACTCCACTCAAAGTTCCAGCCTTGTGCAGAGATAAGGCGTTTACAGAGCCCGATAAGGCAGCATACTCTCCTCAAGCGGTTTTCCATCCAAGGCTAGGTGTGCTTCTTAAAAAACACTGTATCGTGGTGGGGTGTGGTGGTTCACACCTGTAACACCAGCACTTTGGGAGGCCTAGGAGGGCAGATCACTTGAGGTCAGGAGTTGGAGACCAGCCTGGCCAATATGACAAAACCCCATTTCTACTAAAAATACAAAAATTAGCTGAGAGTGGTGGCTCACGACTGTAGTCCCAGCTACTCAGGAGGCTGAGGCAGGAGAACCACTTGAACCCAGGAGGCAGAGGTTGCAGTGAGCTGAGATCCTACCACTGCACTGCAGCCTAGGGACTCGGTATCTGGGCCCTATCCCCACCAGGGATTCTGATTAAGCTGGTTTGGGGTGCGACTGGGGCACTGAAACTTTTTGTTTTAAATGTCCACATTCATCTTGGAAAAGTGGCTGGGCAGGAAATACGCAAGATAAGCCACGAACATCTTATCACACTGGACAACAAGGAAACTAAGCATAAACCGCACTGTGACAAGGCTCAAGAGCCAAGCAAAAGTGGCCCTGCAGGCTAAAAACGGGACAGTGTGAGCTCTGACAAGGAGAGTAAGTGCAACGAGCTGAAACATACCATGTATGTTTGGTTTGTCTGTCTGTTTTTGAGACGAAGTCCTGCTCTGTCTCCCAGGCTCAAGTGCAGTGGCATGATGTCGGTTCATTGCAACCTCCGCCTCCTGGGTTCAAGTCATCCTCCCGCCTTGGCCTCAAAAATAGCTAGGATTACAAGCATGAGCCAAGACACTGGGCTAATTTTTAGTAGAGATGGTGTTTCACCCTGTGGGTAACCAGGCTGGTCTTGAACTCCGGACCTCAAGTGATCCACCCGCCTCAGTCACCCAAAGTGCTTGGATTCCAGAAATAAGCCACCGCGCCTGGCAAAAACCTTCATTTTTAACTAAGGTTTTAATGATTAATTTTACATTATAATGTGAAAAGTAATGAGTCTCTAGCATAGTCTTGTCTTGAAAACTGGGGCAGATTATAAAGCACTACTTTGCTCAGTCCCTTTTTCCTTCAAATCACCTTTTTTGAGTAAATACACTAGCTTCATTTTCCACCCTTCTATAGGGGAAGGAAATACTACTAGGAAAAAAAACAGAATTAGCAGCAGTACAAATGCAACGTTTCCAACCTGAGCATAAGCGTTGCTTTGTAATTTTTTTTTACCCTTCACAGGTTACAGTCACCTATTACCGCAAAATGAAATCTCAAATGTCCTCCATTCTGCATAAACCCATGCTGACCCCTCAGTGGAAAACAACCATGAATTATGAGTCTCTTCACTTTACCTTCAAACCACCAATTTCTGTCGCACTGACTGTGCTTATTACCGTGTCTGTCCAGCATTACACTGGACTCTCAGGGAAGAGGAACTCACAATCATTATCTCGCTCCCAAGGGCAAAACTCCAAAGTGTAATTAAGGAAAGAAGTAACTCCAATTCTTTCAAGTTATGAATTTGTGGTCCTCTCAAAAATGGCAGTGTGTATTCAAGCTCTGCTTGTTTTCCTGATCGAGTTCTCCACCTTTGGGGGGGGTCTTACAAAATAGGCCAGGAAGTCAAAAATGTCTAGAGATTACTCCCACATGGTAATCTTTGCGAATAAAACTCTTAGACCTAACTTTATACTAATAAAAATTTCATGATCCTTTTTTTTGAGATGGGGTCTTGCTCTGTCACCCAGGCTGGAGTACAGTTACAGCTCACTGCAACCTCATCCTCCTGAGCTCAAGCAGTCCTCCAACCTCAGCCTCCCAAGTGTTGGGGCCACAGGCACAAACCATCATGTGTATGGCTAATTTTTTGTAGAGATGGGGTTTCACTATGTTGCCCAGGCTGGTCTCAAACTTCTGGGCTCATGGCATCCGCCTGTCTCAGCCTCCTAAAGTACTGTGATGACAGGTGTGAGCCACTGTGTCAAGCACCAATACCACATTTTAATTGTGTGTTTAGGTGGCTGGATTTTAGGTGGCTGGATTGAAGGAAGAAATGGGTACTCCATTTTCTTTTATTTCCCAGTCCTAAGGGGTTTTAAACTCACTAATATTAAAGTTTACATGCCCTAGAGGTGAAAAAGAGATTTAAAACCTTGACAGTCTCACAGTATCTGGCATAAGTTGAAGAAAAAATGATAAAATGCAAGGAGCTTAATATTTTAAAAGAATTTGGGTGAATGTTGCATCTGTAAAAATGAAATCAGAATAATCTGAGGAAAGATTTCAGAGATGAAAAAATGTTCAGAGGTGAAAAGCATGATCTGCCAAATTTAAAACAGCAATACAAGCAGTAAGTAGCAGTTGAAATACAACCAAACAAAAATTAGTAACAAAAAAATCGGTAAATTCATTATCTAACTCAAATCAAAAGGACAAAATAGATTAACAAGATGAAAGAAAAAATGTTAGAAATATGCAGATAAACTTTACCAATACTATGTATAGAAAGAAAACAGTGACAAATTTATTGAGCATGGAGCATCTAGTATACTACAACCATGATAAAATAGAGAATGAGAGAGACATGGAATGTGTCTTCAAAACGTCCACATTCTAGAACAAATGAAGCTGAAGTAATACCAAAGAAATTACTGAAGAAAACTATGCTTATGAAGAAAGGGGTAGGAAGAGGAGGAAAGGAAAAAAAATAAATGTATGCATTTAACATTTTAGCCAAATTTAATAAGGCAAAGAGATTCTGATAGAATTTCAAAGACTTCAGAGATAAAGTATCCTTCAAGCCCAGTGAAGATTGGGTGTCTAGGGTAATCAAGTTTTTAAAAACATCTGGGTGGCCATGTTTTTAAACAAATACCACACATGGACAAGGATAAGGTTAAATTGGCACTACCATACATTTGAAGCGGGAACTTAAATTGTTTTAATTTTCTAGATGTAAATTTGACGATTCTACTTCATGTACAGCTTAAGAAGCTTACTAAGGTTTCTGCTAGGCATGGTAGCTCACACTTACAAACCCAGAACTTTGGGAGGCTGAGGAAGGTGGATCACTTGAGGTCAGGTGCATCACCTGACATCAGGAGTTCAAGACCAGCCTGGCTAACATGGTGAAACTTCATCTCTACTAAAAATACAAAAATTAGCTGGGTGTGGTGGTGCACACCTGAAATCCTAGCTACTTGGGAGGCTGAGGCAGAATCGCTGAACCCAGGAGGCAAAGGTTGCAGTGAGCAGGGATTGTGCCACCACACTCCTGCCTGGGCAACAAAGCAATACTCTGTCAAATAAATAAATAAATAAACCAATAAATAAAATATGGCCTTAATAAGGTTTCTTATGTCCTTCCCATAACTTTCCATTTTTTTAAGCTATTGTCATACCTTTTACTTCCATGTTATACAACGTATAATGCATTATTAATTTTGTTTT